CTAGAATCACATGCTTTATTGAGATCTCAGGAGTTAAGCCATTTTGAAGCAATAGAAGCCAAATAGGTTGATGTATTATTCCATGGTCCCCATGTCCCCAAGACATCTCTTGAATGCATTCAGTTGTTGCCACCCCTTGTGCCTTGGACAACTTGTTTGAACTTGATGGAAGGAATCTTTCCTTGCATTTTCCTTTGGACTTTCATTCTTTTGTATTCTGCCTAGTCTTTTCTTTGCCCCATGCCTGAGTCCTTTCCCCTTCTTATCAACTTCCTTGCCCTAGATCCAGTATTTGTCAGGTTGTTGACAACTTCGCATAATACCCGAGATTTCTCTTAAGGTTCCTACTATGCTCCCTTAGGTGGAAGGTGTCAGGGGTCCCTGGGAGTTGCATGACCTTGGACGTTTTCTCTCTCCTGAGCTTGAATGCTTGCAAACTGCAGGAAACACCCTGGGCAGGAGCTTATCATAGAACTTTCCTAAAATGAAGCTCCAGACCCTCGTGAGTTCTAATTTCGGGAGATGTCTTTATTGATACAGACAGACTATAGGAAGCAAGGGGGTGGGAGCTTTGTCTCATTGAAAGTAGACCCAAGAATGTGAAGTTTCCTGAAGACAACAGCCACCTGGCTTTTAAAATGTAGTTTAAACAGTTAAGGACTTATGTTAGGATCTCATCAAATAGCTAAGCAGCAATCTATTTTTAGTATGTTTTCTTTCTCACTGGAGAAAATTATCTGCTAGGAAAAAAAAAATTTCAGCCTCTACCTCAGCCTGTATTTTCTAGTGCTGGTAATGGCTTCAATTGTAATTTGATCAACAATTTCCTAGCTCTTTGCCTAGGGCATTGTTAGCCTTTTATACATATTTATTTTATTTCATTTTGTGTCTTGGACCTTCTGACACTTAAGAATATAATTTACCTTGATTACACAGCAGACAGGACTCTCCCTGACTCAATTAAAAAAACTAATGCATTTAATTTTAGTAGAAGTGTGCGATGAGACACCAGGTGACTCAGCTAAGTAAAAGAAGGGTTTCTAATTACACTTCTAAATCAAATTGTGCTCTGAGTGCCCTTCTGGGGTTAAATCCGGCAGAAGTCAAGAGTAACTGAGGATTGCTAACTCAGTTTTCCCAAACTGTAAAATGGAAGTGGGTGGTGGTGGTAGTGGTGGTGGTGATCTGTATTCAACACATTCTGAGTATCTAAATATTTAAAATTAATATTCACTACTCTTCCTAAAGTACAGTGTTTAGGGATGCTTAACAATGAATGAATTTCTTTTTCTCCCCTTGGGCAGTTTTTGAATTCCATTCGGCATCACCTGCTGTTTTATTATGCATTTTCTCATAATTGCTTCTGTGTAATCAGGGTTTGTGGGATAAAGAAAAAATGACTAGTCGTATCTCAAGATGTGGAACCCAGAGTGCACCTCAGCATTATTTTAGGATTATTTAAAAATGGATTAGCAGCATGCTTTTTTTTTCTTTCTCATAACAATATTTTCTCATTAGAATGGATTTATTATCACATTTCTCTTCACGTTGCAGTTTGTGACATGAGAATGAGTTATAGGCCTTTTCAGAGAGACTTTTAAAAATGATTCGATGATGGTTTCTCCCTTGTGCCATTTGTTAGTGTCATGGGGATGAAGAAAACAACTTCATAATGATTTTTTCTGAGTAAGAAACTGAGATATATTCTTGGGAACAGTGTGGATCATGCTTTCAAGGGGTTAGGTCTAATGATCAAATGTCAAGGAGGAAACCAGTTAACTGAGATGAAGCCTCGGCTTGATATATTTTGGTGGAGATCATGATTTGGAGGCAGTTAACTTGGCTGATGAAGACTTTCAGAAACTTGATTGGAACTAGATTGGAATCTCTGAATTCTGGAGTTTAAGGCAGGAAAATAAGAGTGAATGGATTCGGGAATGGCGTGAGTCGATCTCAAGAGTACTAAGCTAACAAAATAAAACAGCTTTCACCTAAAAATCTCAAAGTACACTGTTGATTTAAAAAGTGTCCCTGGATAGGGCAGTAGTAGTCTTTTGTAGGGAATTAAGAATGGAGGACAGACATATGGAATTTTCTAAATAGAAGCCTTAAAAAAGATGGAAATAGGTATTCAAGAAAGAAGACAAATAAATGGATTTCAAAACACTAGAGATTCACTATGACCCAGAAGAAATCATAAAGTTGAAAAGGAATGAATTTGCAGCTTGATACCCAGAGCATGGTCCATGGACAAGCACCATTGAATCACTTGGGAGCTTGTTAGAAATGCACAGTCTTGGGCCTCTCCTGATACCAACTGCATTTTAACAAAATGCTAGAGGGATTCGTGTACAAATTTAAGTTTCATAAGCATGGCTTTAAAGGAAAACACTCAAAAGATTTTCTTTTTTTGAACAACACTTTAGCAGCTTAGGGTTACCTTTCCTTCTCTGTGCTTGGAATCATACTATTTGGTTCTACAGTGAATAACACTTGCATAAGCCTAATAATGAGAATGCTGTTTTGTAGTTTTCTGTTTGTACATTAATACATAGGTAAGGCTTGGTACACTTGAGATTAGAGTTATCGAACAGAACATAAAGGTTATAAACCTTGACAATTTAAAATAGCAACAGCAAACAATACAAGAGGGATAGAGAAGAGAAAGAAAGGTCAAAGAAAGAACAAGTAAAGGGAGTAATTTTCTCACATTTCATAGCAAGGAGTCAACAGATACTGGTTAAAGTTGAAAATCCAGGAAACAGTTTGTCATATTTCAAGTCATAAAAGAAATAACTTTCAGAATATAATCAACACAATTGATCAAAGGGGTTGAGGCAGGGAGGGAAGGTGGGAGGCAGTGTAGATGAACCAAATTCTTTATCTTTCACAGTAAGGAGCTGATATAGGTGCTATCCAGGGTTGATAAATCATGAAACAAAGGCAGTAGCATGTAGCAACTCATCCCAAAAGTCCAGGTGTGTGAGAAATACCACACTTCTTTGTCTTTTCAAATCTATTTAATCGAATTGCTGTCTCTACCAGGCCAATTTGGTAGCACTCAATCATAGTTGGGATTAGAGTTTCCTCTCACACTTACACCCAATGCAGTTTAACATTGCTTCTTCTTCCTCCAGGACACATAGCTAGATGGTTTCCCAGGCTCCTTAGCAAATGGTTATGGCTGTGTCACTGAGTGATGGCTCTTGGAACATGAGTGGGAAGTGATGTGTCACTTCCAGGCCCATGTCTTCCATTACTCTTCTCTCTTGGCCAGTTGAACCAAGAGGCCTCTATGGTCCGAAAGGAGAGTGGAGCCATAACAGGGAAGGAGCCTGGGTCGCCTGGATGCTGACTGAGGACATCCAGATAGACGTTGCTTGAGCAAGAAATAAACTTCTATATTTTTGGCCTCAAAAATCATAAAATTCTTTTGGCATTAGGTTAGTCTATATGAATTACGCAAAGATCATGGGGGTTTCACACAAAACAGAATTTTTGAGCAGTTCCCTCTTGCCTCAGTTCACAAGTCACTGTGGTCCTTTGATGTCAAGCATTTCAGCATTTTTATGCCATGTGAGGGCATGGACTTTTTTTGCTCATTCTGAGAAACCCGGGGACTGGGGATCTAATCTAGTAAAGGAAGGACTGAAAACTGAAACTGTTACTCTGGATGAAAAAATGGAGGGACATTTTACCCTTCCCTCTGTGCTCTGTTTATTGCTTTCATTTTAAAAAATCAAGTGCATGTGATATAAGATTATCATTAAAAATACTTTTCTTGGACCGGCCGAGGGGCGCGTTGGTTAAGAGCTGGCTTGGGACACCAGCTCTGAGCAGCAGGGCCCCGGTTCACATCCCACATGAGGGCCAGTGATGCTGCGCCCTCTATATCTAAGATGGTGAACAACAGCTTTACCTGGAGCTGGGCTGCCATGAGTCGCTGGCAACAGCGCAGGCTGCAGCGGGGCTGGCCGGCAGCTGGCATGAGCTGCAGTGAGCCGCTGTGAGCGGTCGTCCAATGGCCAGCGAGCAACTGCCTCACCCGGAAAGAGCGCAATGATAATACCATCATGGGCCAGTGAAGCGACGTCCTCCACAACTAGGCTGAGGAACAAAATGACAGCAACTTGTCTGTTCCCCTCCCCTGATTCCCCAGTGCTGTTCCCCTCCCCTAAGTCCCCAATAAAATCTTGAAAAAAAAAATCTCTTGTCCCTCATTGTTTTAATACTTCAAAGCTTAGAGAACCTCAATAAGGATTTAGCTATATGAAATATCAATGGAAATGATGTGTTAAGATTCCGATCTAATTTAGAGTTTTCTTCTGGAAGAAGCTCGACAAGGGTGAAAGAAGCAACTTGCAACTTGTATAAGAAGAATGGTATAAGAAGGGACCTCGGATTAGATGGTCCTTTTACTTCTCTGAGCCTCAGTTTCCTCATTCATCTGGTAGTCATGCTACTATTTGCCTGTCCTTCCCCAGAGTTGCTCTGAGGGTCAAATTCAATGAAATTTACAGAACATTTGCTTAGGACTTGACAACAAATTGATATAAAAATAGAGACACAGAAATAAATAGTACCAGTCTTCTACTTACATGGAGCAAAACTCTAGTGGAGGGGAGTAGGAAGACCTGTCCAAAAACAAACGAGCCTTTGTATGTGAAAGGCTTTTGAAAACTATGAAGTATGATTATAAGATGTTATTAATTTTCTCTAACATCATCTAGCTGCAGACTTTCTAGTTGTTAAGAAATAGAAATATATTCTCAATCATGGAACCATGTAAATCTCTCAGTTCATAATCAGAAGTAAAAATATTACTGCAACCCTGGCTGCTCCTAGAACGAGCAGTTCAGAAATGAATTTCTCTTGAAGATAAAGGGAAAAGCTTGTTGGTCACACTTTTAATATCTGTGTGTTCAAAATGCCTGCAAACTTGTCTCCCGTCCACCCAACTCTACTCAGCTCAGAATTATTTTTTCTTTCCTTCCATTTAGGACAGAAGATTCGATCTTGAAATTGTGTTCTTGCTGACTCACCGAAGGATGCAGATAAAAAGAGGACACCATCTTTTCATCCTTTTAGAGTCTTAGATTCTCCTTCAGGTCAGTCTCGACTGAACATTTTTTTTTTTTTAATGTGCCAGGCCTGTGCTGGGCCTTCATGAGCATTAACTCATTCAGTGTCACTCAAAATGGTGCCAGGAAAACAGGATGATGCAGCTAGAAACCAAGATGGGCTTGGCAGTGAAGCGTCCTGTGTGCTGTGTTGAGCAATATGCACTTTATTTTCTAGGCACTGAAGAACTGTGGGGAGTTTTGGGGACAGGCAAGCATATTAGTTAGGATAGATGCAAAGTTCCATTCCAAATAGACCCTGAGAGTAAAATTGATATGTGTTGATTTCCTTTTATTTTACACATCCAGGTGGGTAGCATGTTCTATGTGATCATTTAACGTCTCTGCTCTTGCAAGGTTATTCTTTTGTGGCCCTCTGAGCATTGTCTTCTGCATGCTTACAGCTGCAGGACTGCTGCATTTTGGGTCCCAGTGAGGAGAAAGAGGAAAGAGAATGTGCAGAAAGTATGCCTGTTGTCTGAAGTCCCAGACACTTTGTTTAGACAATAGCATAGCCTTGTGGCCCCAGCTGACTGCAGTCTGGATAGCCAAGACCTGGTCACACTTATGAGCATATTATTAGGGCTGACTTTGGTGGATATCTAACCTAGTCATCTCTACCACAACAGTGAATTAATCAGATGTATGTTTTAGAAAGATAATTCTGATTGATCTTTTCCTTTTTCTTTTTTTTTTTTGTATTTTCTAGGGCATCTAGCACAGCGCTGTCTATGTGGTAGGCATTCCATCAATAATTGTTGGCTCATTACTTGACTAATAGATTGATAAACCCAAATGAGGGCTTGAGGTCCTTTTTTTTTTTAATGTTGGCATGTAAAGATTCATTGATGGCACCTGCCCAATGACGCCTTTCTTAAAACAATGTAGGAAAGAGGCTACCGAAGGTCTGTTCCATTCTGTTGGTGGCATGTCTGGGAAATGTATAGCCCTCAGGAGACAAAAGGGAATGATTCAAGACCCCAAATCAAGAGGTTGGAAAACAATGCACAGTGCCATTTTCTGGATTGTGAAGAAGGGGCTAACGATAGTTGTTACATTACATCTATACTACTGCAATTTGTAGAGAGAGATTTTATGTGAAAGTCAAAATAAGGTTCTTTGTAAAGCACTCTTTTTCTTTCTTTTTCCTTCTAATAGTGAGCCAAAGGGTGGTGGTGGTAAGAGAGAGAGGCCTGTTCCAATGGTTCTGTGTATTTTATTGCTGATATTGTTTAGATTGACTTCTAGTCAGGTATCTTTCTTGCTTTTTTTTATTGTTTTAAAATTCTCTGTAGATAGTATACCACCTTATTGCCTGCACCAGGATGAACTTCTCCCCGTGCCCCTATTCCTTGGTTTGCCACTCATTTCCTCCTTCCTTCCTTCTTTTTTCCCCATTCTCCTTTATTTACAGTAAAACTCTTTGGAAGAGTTTTCTATGATTACTTTCTACTACGTCTCTCTTCCGTTCTCTCCTAAACCTCCATCAGTCAGACTTTTGCTCCAGCCAGTTCACCCAGTTAGCTCTTGTCAAGGTCACCAATGCCCTCACAGTTGCTAGATAAACTGTCGATCCTCAGTTCTTGTCTTACTTGAGCTCTCAGCAACATTTATCTCTCTTGGTCACTTCCTCCTGGAACTCTGGCTTCCAGAGCAGCGTCCTCCCTGGGGGGACGTCAATGGGCTCTTCTCAACATGTTCTTTTCTTCTTGTTTTCCAAATATTGGTGCGCCCCAGGACTCAGTTCTCTTTTCCACCAACACTCACTTCTGTGGTGATCTTATTCAGTCTCAGGACTTTAAATATCACAGATAAACTGGAAAGTCCTAGGTTTCTATCTCTGACCCAGACTTCTGCCTTGATTCCAGATTCATGCATCCAACTCCCCCTTTCGCACCTTCATTGAATAGATGCCTCAAAAGCTACGGGTCCACACTTGACTACTCCTCTTCCCTACGCAATTGCCCCACTGGCAGTCTTCCCATCTGAGTTAATGGCGACTCGTTGCTCAGGTCAAAAATATAATCATCAAAAAGAAATTTAAAAAAAAAGGAAAAGAGAAAAAAACAAAAAAATATAAAGGAGAGATAAAAAAATATATATACATAGAATCATCAGTGGCTCCTTTTTTTTTCTATATACAGATCCAGCTGGTTGGGAAATTCTGAAGGCTCTTTTTTAAAACACACCAAGAATCTGCAAATTATTGCCATCTACACTGTAGTCACCAAGCCAAAATTATCTTTTCCCTTTTGACAATAAGTTACAGAAGCCTTCTAGGTGGTCTCTGGATCCCATTCTTTTCTATCTCATGTCTGTACACAGAAGTGAGGCTGTGGGAGTCAGGTCAAATTAATCTTCTGCTTAAAACCTTCCCTTGGTTCTCTACATCCTCGTGACTATTTTGTAATTGTCAATTTGTACTTGTCATTTTCTGTTTGGCCCTGAGCAAGTTCCTTTGCTGTTTCTGAGCCTCAGTTTCTCCATCTACAAAATGGGGATAGTAACAACTGCTTTATTACTGAGAGGATTCAATGATTTAGTGCTTGCAAAGCACTTACCTCAGGGCCTGACATGTAACAATCGTGAAGTATATGATGGTTATTATTAGTATTGAAGAAGTTACTACTACTTTACTTATATGAAACGTTGATTGTTTTTTGTCGTGCTAGTTGTCAGTTATTTTTGGAGAGTGTCTCAGAGGCACAAGGTCATTATCATGGCCACAAAACAAAACAAAACAAAGCAAAACTACAACAAACCATCCCAATAGGCTCCCAATGTTGATGCTGATTTTTAATCATTGTGACTGGAAGGGAAAGAGAGGGCCTATAGAACCCTGATTCTCTTGTGGTCTCTGGTGCATTTGAACTGTCTCCAATGCCCTCCTGTGATGGGGGAGCAGCAGCGCCCCTCCCCACTCTTCTCAGTGGAAAGCTTCTCTCATCTGACAAAGGACAAGGGCATGCTTCCTGTTTTCTGTTCTCTCCACACTACCTTTGTACCTCTCAGATGCCTTCAGCTGCTTTGCACACTTAGTGCAGGTTTTTGGGCATCCTGTTCTATTTATAATGGGCTCAGATATCTGATTTGAGGCCAGTCCCTGCGAAGACATCATGTTTTTTCTTTACATTTTTTTTAAAATTTATTTTTATTGCTAAGCTGGATCTCTGGAGTAGAGTGATGAATCTCATGATTTTTGTAGCAGAGGGGCAAGTCTGCCTTACTGTGTGTGCCTTTCCCTAGCTCAGAAGGCCTGGTTCCCAGGAATCCTGAGCCCTGGCCTCAGAGGGCAAGGAGGAGAGGACCTTGGGAAACCACCTGTCCCCTTGCCTCACCAATTCCCACACCGTCCCTTCTCCTCAGTCACCAGAACCTTTCATTCTGTATATTCGGTAGCAACATTGACTTTGAAATGATATAGTTAGTTGTCAGAGACCATAAATGTTTGTGGTTTGTCTTACCACGGAAAGTTGTTCGAGCTGGTGTGATAGGTAGAATGCTTTGCATAGTAAGTAGCCTGCTTGGTCGTTGGCTCAAATTCCAGCTCTATTACTTTCTAGCTGTGTTTCCATAGGCAAGACATGGAACATCTCAGAGCTCCAGTGAGAATATGTGCCTTCAGGATTGTTGAAGAGTTAAATAAGATGGTTTATGGAAGATCTCAAGAAGCATTAGTTACTTTGTTATTTCTCCGACTTCCTGTAAAATCAAATTCCTTAGAAGAGGATGGGACACAGGTAGGCTAAAAGAATGACAATGGGGAGGTGAGTATAGAATCAAGATAGGCACTATGTTAGTTTGCTAGGGCTGCTGTAACGAAGTACCACAAACTGGGTAGCTTTAAACAATGATTTATTGTTTCCCACTTCTGGAGGCTTCAAGTCCAAGATCAAGGTGTTAGCAGGGCCATACTGTCTCTCAAGGCTCTGGGGGAGAATCTTCCCTCGCTTCTTCTAGTTTCTGGCCTTTGCGGACAGCACTTAGTATTTCTTAGCTCATAGATGCATCACGCCAGACACAGAGCGAGCTTCTCCCCATGTGTCTTTGCATCATCTTCTTGTGCCTGTCTGTCTCTGTGTCCAGATTTATCTTTTTTATAAGGACACCAGTCATGTTGGATCAGCACTCACCCTAATGACCTCCTCATAGCTTGATCATCTGCAAAGGATTTAGGTCCAAATAAGGTCACATTTATAGTTACAGACTTCACTGTGGTGATTTTAGGGGACACTGGTCTACTCTGTTACCCTTGGAAGTGGTCCTTATTTGCTCCTTCTGGAAGGTAAAGAGACTAACCAGTTAGTTAGACTATTCTATTCTTATGTCATAGTCTCTTTCTTTCTCTCTCCCTCCCTCTCTTTTATCTATTTTATCATCTATCTATCTATCTATCTATCTATCTATCTATCATCTATCTATCTATCTTCTATCATCCATCTATCTAATCATCTATCTATATGTAGATATAAATGTATTTGTCTGTCTATCATCTATCTATCTATCTATCTATCATCTATCTATCTATCTATCTATCTATCTATCATCAATCACCTATCTAGCTGTCTAAACATCATATTCTTTTTTCACTTGGAACTTTCCTTTTCTTCACTGGTGACAGATATGTGTGTGAACTCTATGAAAGATTAACCTATATTAGACTCTTTACTTACTGGAGGGTGAAAAGACACTAAAAGGAATAATGAGAGTTAATTTCATTGAAGAAAAATATGCTTTCCTTAAATAGTGAAAGATTCTTTTGACTTAAAACACTTATTTCCTAGTGAAAGAAACAGCTCTATCAGTGGGAACAATGTCGTTTGGGAGCAAATTGTTCAGCAACATTTCCTGGGCAAGCCAATAACATTGGTATACACACCAGCAAATCGCTTCAATTTACCAACTGTTCTGAAATTATCTGACCAAGCAGAAAACATTAATTCGAATCCTGTTACAAATGGACATTGAAATAGGGTCATGAACCTTGG